TTATCCTGACCTTGTATCAACCAATTATTATCTTTTTCATTGTTACTTTGTCGAGGAAAACATTCTTTAGTGAAAACCGAATTCAAGAGTTCGCCGGAAAACGTTTTCCCATCAAAATCTATGGAAATTTACTCGAAATTAAATAAAATAAATTAAATTAAAAAGAGTTATGATAATAATTAATAATTAATTCATCGTTAATAAATTAATTAAATAAAATTGAATAAAATATATTAATTTGTTATAGAAGTCCAACCTGATGAGTGACAACAAGCCATTGAAAATAATAGCGTATACACGAATAAAATATAATTGTACTTCTACTTTATAATCATTCACTCCAAACAAGGCAATAAAGCCACTAAGACTCAAGGGGTTACTGGGTGTGTGAAAATATGAAAAAAGAAAACAATATTTAGGAGAGAGAACAATAAAAGAACAGGAATTAAGAAGGCAGAATTCCTGCATATAATTTTTTGAGGATCAAAGACTAGAAATCAAGAAGCCAAAAGAGAGTACCACAAGCAAGAAGTGCTAGAGAATAAACTGTTAGCACAAAATTTACAGTTACATCGCGCTTATTCAGCTGTGAATTGAAGCGAACTTGCTGCCAGTCTAGTCAGTTATGTGCCATGCGTGATACACGCTTAGGCTATCATGTATCTTTCGATACATGACTAAAGAGGCAGATTTTTTCTCGGAGTAGGTTGCCATTTCTTTCTGCGGTAGACCAGTTGCCACCCAAGGCTATAGAACTTGGTTTGTCCTGTTATTTACCCATAGCTGGTGGGAGAAGAAGAGGATTCATACTTTTCCCAAGGGTTTTAGTATGTAAGTGAATGTAATGGATTCTACTGGAATTCAAACTTGGCTCTCTGAGTCTGAGCTGCCATCCATTACTCCACCATGTCTCCTAGACTTACCACACAAGGTGGATCTTCAGAGAGAGCTCTTCTCTCAAGATGTTTTTGTCTATTTTTACTTCTTTCATCACTAGTGTGCATCTTTTCCCTGAAAACAGATCTTCCTGGCATCAGTTTAAACTCACGCCTTTTTTTTTCCATATATTGTGACCATTTATTAACTATATCTATTTTATAAATATAAGACTGGCTGCATTTTATTTACAATGACAAGAAGATCAGTCAGTTATGTGTCATGCGTGATAGACGCTTAAGCGATCATGTATCTTTCGATACATGACTAACGAGGTAGATTTTTCCCCCGCAGTAGGTTGTCATTTCTTTCTGCAGTAGACCAGTTGCCATCCAAGGCTATAGAGCTGATCTGTTCTGCTATTTACCCATAGCTAGGAGGTCGAAGAAGAGGATTTATAACTTTCCCAAGAGTATTAGCACTAAGTGAATATAATGGATTCGACGGGAATTCGAACTCGGCTCTCCGATTTCTTAAATCTAACCACTATCTATTAATCCACCGCGCGGTTAAATTCATAAATTCAAGATTTCAAAGAAGAAAGCTGAGCAAAACAAAAAAAAATGTTGTAGAAAACGCATATTAAAGCGATGTTACCACGGTTTGAAATTGGTGGAAAGCGAGATTCCGAGCCAGGAACAATAAAATTTAATTTTAATTTTATTCTATCTGAAGAATAAATTTGATACGAAAGAAAGGAAATGATTTATTACTCATCCCAATATATTTATTCTATGCTAATTTCTTAGATCTGAATTTTATTAGCATTTGCCAACTGTTGCAAATTAATTTCTAAATGTAAAACCATGAAAGTATGACTTGTAAGGTAATAACTGACTCTGTTAGAATCAAACTCCTTAGTGTAAAATTGGAGCCTTTCAAAAGCACCGAGGCGACACGGAAATGAGACACGACTAAAAGCCAGTTTTTCATAGCAATAGGTTACCTGTTTAATGATGACTCAGCAGGAATTGTGTATTTTTTTGGTATGATCGGTGAGTGTTACATCGAGAATAGTTGATCCGTTCAGGTGAATCGTCCCGCATGAACGATTTCACTCGTAGCAAATGTTGCAATTTATTTGAAAAGGACAGATTTCATCGATAAAATCAACCAAAGAAATCCATTATGTGTCCTCGAGCTGAATGCTTCGATTATTTGAAAAATTGATATATGTCGTCATTCAGACATTTCACTGTAAAATCATCTAGTCATCTGTAACGACAAATGTATACGCGATGGGAGAAGAACGTTTCTCGAACCGTACAGAAAGTCCTTCCGATGATTGGCTGTTTGGTCCGATTGAGGTAGGTAGACAAGCTGAAAAACTTTCTCTGCTCCATAACAACGAGAGATTTCTGAAAAGTAAGGCTCATAGAAGCATAAATCTATCGGAGCGTGTCGACGATAAAGCATAGTTAAATCGTGGCCTAGACGGTCTAAAAACACGTCGGATCTAACGACGGTTTTTCCTGCCTTAGCAGGCACCAATTCTTCCAGAGAGCGCATGTTTTTCTTTAATAAGATTTCTCAAATATTCAGGCTGATAGACAAAAATAAATAAATATACGCTTTAATAAATAAGCGCAAACACATACACACACATACACTCATATATATATATATATATATATATATATATATATATATATATATATATGTATATATGTTGGCTAGATGTGAGTTTGTGACCCTGGGTTCACGCTTTAGCGATCGTCAGACAAACTGATTAATGTTTTAAAAAATTTGGGTTTATGTAGATTGCGTGTATTGGTGTTATTGTGGAAGTGGTGGGGGAAAACTTCGTCGTTTTGTCATTCATCGTACTAACGCAAACATCGATATATGCAGACACATATACATACTTTGCGTTAGGACGATGAATCTCTGATATTGAGCGCTTTTCTAATAAGTACCGCGTATATAATATATAAATAATTATACATATATATATTTATTTATATTTATATACACTTTTCACATATATATATATATATATATATATATATAGTATTTATTGTCAATATACACACATATATATATATATATATATATATATATTTATTGTCACACACACACACACACACACATATATATATATATATATATATATATATATATATATATAAAAATATAGAACTCTATGTACAAGACAGAGCAAGAATGTAATATGAAAGGTCCAAACCCTAATATTCCATGGTTATAATTTATTACATTGGAATCGTAGACACAATTTAATTCACCAGACCTACAAATTCAAAAAGAAAACACAAATCTATCTCCAAGTTAAAAAAAAAAAATTCAGTGAAAGTGTGTGGAAGGAGAAAGCACGGGTGAGGAATAAAATTTAAAAAGAAGAAGAAGAGAAGGAAAGGGCCTAAGGTGAGAGCGAGGAATAAAATTTAAAAGTGGGAAGTTTTAGAAGTTAAATAATTTACGATTTCAATGTAATAAATTATAACTATGGAATATTAGTGTTTGAGCCTTATATATATATATATATATATATATATATATATATATATATATATATATATATATATATATATATTTCAATTATAATTTTTATAAATTCATAAATCATTCATACAAAAAAACAAATATAGAGGTTAATGATTTAAATGGCGAGAATACATCATCGCAAACAATATAAATAAGATACACCAACCCCGAACATGTATATGAATGATATGATCCCTGTTTATAAATTCCAGTAGCATAAGGTCTTTTTAATTTTTTACGAGCTTTCGTCTGTTCCTACAGACATCTTCAGGTATGGAAATAGATTTTGTTCTTGTTTTTACTTCTCGGTAATAAGAGGACAAGGAAAATAGAAATGCAATCCAAAAAATGCTATGAGAAATGTGTTATTGTTTTGGAACGTGCGGTCGCAACGCTGAGTTTGAATTTAAATTTTAAGGTTGTGCGTTTTTGTATAAATATAGTAATAAGGGAATTCTTTTTTACTAGTAGATTTTCCGTCAATGTGGCAATCTCATTTATATTGTTTGCGAAGATGTATTCTCGACATTTAAATCATTAACCTCTATATTTGTTTTTTGTATGAATGATTCATGAATTTATATATATATATATATATATATATATATATATATATATATATATATATATATATATAAGCATTTCACCCCAAGCAAGGCAGGAGTGCCACTAGCACACAAGGAGTTACAGAGAGTAAGAGAAAGAGTGAAGGCCAGTGTTAGAGGAAAGGAGAAAAAGAAGGATTGAAATATATGTTTTTATGTACGTTTTAGACAGAGGTAAAAATAATTCTACATTTCTTTTTAAAAGCTTTATAAATAATTCTATTTATTGCAGATTAATTTGCGAAAACTTCAATAAAATTTCATAATTAACTGATTTTTTACGGTTTAAAAAAATCACTTTTTTTCGTGTCTCCAACTTGATTATTTTATTGCTCAGCCTAGGTTTTTTTATTTTCAAATTCAATCAAATTGTATGTATGTTGGGTAAAAACAGAATGAAATGATAGGTTGACACAAGTCTCGTGGTTAACAGATAGACACAGGTGCGGTCTGTACTCGTTTCGAAGAGGTAGACACAAGTCTGTTTTGAAGACGATCCCAAAAGGTACAGAAATTTGTTTTACACGAATAGCCAATAAGGTAAATATTGGTCAAGTTTATACGAAAAATCTACCACTCTGAAAGAGATCCCATTTGTATTTGATTTTCCTCTGCAGGGACGGCATATTCTAAGCCTCACTGAATGACATTCACTCTGTGGACTACTGGTAGTACCACGGCTTCGATAACGTATGTTTTCTTGTTTACAACTATTAGATCTGTCGTTTTCACTTGAATGAAGTGGTCAGTATGGCTGACATGATCATAAAGTTGCTAATTCTTTTCTTTTTAATTTTGTTATTATTATTATTATTATTGTTGTTGTTGTTATTGTTGTTGCTGTTTTTGTTAAACTTGAGTAAATGATTTTTAAATCTCTTGACTTTAAACATGTGCCCCACCCTCGTCCCAAGGTTTTATTTTCTTCCCTTTCTGTAATCCTCACATATCATCCCAATGATTCAAAAACGAATTAATTCTATAATCCATCTTTTATTTTTTTTTCCTTTCGTATTTTTTTCTCTCTCGCTGCTAAGACCGGAAAAGATGAACGTCAAAGTAAATCTTTTAAATCATTTAACCGACATTTTGAAAACAAGCAGACATAGCAAAACCCAGTCCCCACTTCTGCCCCCCTCTCTCCCTCTCTCTCCCCTTACATCACTTTCTTACTCTCCTTCACACTTTCTTTCACTCTCTGACACTTTCTTTTTCTTTCTATTTCTCTCTAATTTTCCTTCTGCCATTCGTTCTTTCTTTTCTTTCTTTCTTTCTTTCTTTCTTTCTTTCTTTCTTCCATTTCCGAACTTGTTCCATATCTCTCTCTCTCACACTTTATCTCTTGCATTTGTTTTGTCCTTTCTTTCACTCTCAGTTGCACTCGCTTTCTTTCTCATTTTTCTCGCCTTCGTTTCTATTTTCTTTTCCTTCCCGCTTTGTCTTTCCCTAAAACGTTTTTACTCACTCTCTCTCCCTCTCCCTGTCTCTCTCTCTCTCTCAATTTATTTTCTTTCACTTTTCCCACACTTTCTTTCTCCTAGTGTCTTTTTCTTTCTCCTTTCTTGCCTATGTCTCTTTCTTTCTCCCTCTCTCTCTCTCTTTCTCAATTGTTTATTACTCGTTTGTCTTTGTTTCTCTTTCGTTTTCACTTTCATTCTTTCAGTTGCTCTCTCTCTCTCTCTCTCTCAATTGCTTTCTCTCTCTTTCAATCTTTTTATTTCCATCCTCTCTCTTTTTTTCTTTCTTCATCTTTATCTCTCTTTAACTGTATCTCTGTTTTTATCTCTATCTTTCTTACTCTTTGGTTGTGATTAGTGTTTAATTCGTTAATATTTGCGACATGTTTCATTTGTCTCTATCGAGGTTTACCGCTTGAATAATTTCTGTGGATGCCAATTAAGAGAATTCAATATTTGCCTTGAAAAAAGTATAAATTTCTGACAAAATATTCACAAAATAGAGAGACGTTCCCGCCTTCTCCTTCATTCTCCCCCTCCTATACAGTCTTTCTTTCTTTCTTTCTTTCTTTCCCTGACTAATGAAGTTGATACCGTCATTTTTGCATTTTTTGTCTCTTACTAATCATCTATTCTTTCTCCTGCTCTTGCTGGTATTCACTTTTCTCAAGCCATGGGTTTGACGATAAACTACATCCGGCAGCAAGACAGTGATCCGGAAATTGGAAGTTTTGAGGGGCGTGAAACCACTTCTTTATTTTTTTTTTTAATCATTTCACTCCAAGCAACGCGGGAATGCAACACGCACGCAGGCAGTTACGGGGTGGGGGGAGAAAAGACTGAGTATAGCGAGTATTGAAGAAAGGAGAAAAGTGAACAGGATTCAAGGAGATAGAAGATGGTGATTGACGTTGCATTTAAATTTTTAAAGATATTTTTAGCAGTTGCATTTAGCTATTTCATCAGTAATTGGGTGGGAACTAGATATCAATCTAATAACACACTTAAATTCATGTAATCGGGCCACCAGGTTAAAAAAAAATCCTCAGAGCAATTGCCATGTAAATATTTGCAGAAAAGACACAGGGAAGTCACATCATATATATATATATATATATATATATATATATATATATATATATATATATATATATATATATATTCTCAAATATATATATGTATTCTCAAATATATATATATATCTCAAATATATATATACATTCTGAAATATATATATATATATCTCTGTATACATACATATGTATATATTCTCAAATATATATATATATATATATATATATATATATATATATATATATATATATATATATTTGAGAATATATATTTGAGAATATATATATTTGAGAATATAAATATAAAGGTGTGACATAAAGAGTTTCACCACAACTACACTAGCTATGGAATGACTAAAAGTGTCTTCTCAATTATAAAGTCCTTTGTAATGGTTAGTTACCTGAAGGTACCTGAGTTAATTCTTGAAGACCCAAGCGATCGATGCCGTCGTCCCCCAATGTTTCTTTCTCGGTCCAACCCTCTTTCTGAATTACATAAATGATTTGCGTAAGAGTATACTCCGGTCATTTGTGAATAGTGATTTTCCAAGCGTAGCTTAGATGCGGCACAAGTCCGAAAGTATCGAGCAGCCAGTGAGGATCGAACTCATTACTCAGTCGAGACAAGTTTGCGAACCATTACACCGTCCAATCATTTGTGAATATATATGCTGATGATAAAACGGTATATTGGTGTGCATCCAAAACTTTAGACGAGCAGAGATTAAAAGCTGATTTCTCCTCTGAACTAGCTCTAATATCTCAGTGGGGCGAGAGGGAGTGAACTCGATGGTCATATTAAATGTTTTGAAAATCAAACTAGTGACCTTCCATTATCACCTAGCGGACTCGATCACCATGAATGGGTGTTCCCTTTGAGAGGTCACGTACCTTAAGCGCCTAGTGGGACAAAAACACAGCCCAGACATCAATAGGAACTCCTACGAACCGCCGATAAAGATGCTGGGAAAATGGTCGTTTCCATGTTAGTTCTACATTAAGAATAACTTTTTGGGAATAACTTATTTCTGAAATATACGTGTTTTAATAGTATATTCATATTTGCCCTGACTTGACATCTATGAAAGTAACTCTATATTGATACTTATTATTAACATCCAACACACCCCCTACCCAATTTAAACAATTCGCCCTAGCTGTTATCATGGAAATTTTGATTTCAATTATGAATATAAAACATATTATAAATAATTATATTGAAGTTTTCGGCTCTTGTTTTGAAACATGAGACCTCTTATGTCGCGAGTTGGAATCATATTTTTAAATAAATTATATATATATATATATATATATATATATATATATATATATATATATAGTTAATAATAGTCACTGTTTACAAACCCACATATTCTCCTGAAAAATTATTTCGGTTGAGCTCTCTAGGTAGAAAGCGTGGGTTTGTAAACCGTGACTATTACTGCTACTAATAAAACGATAAAACGAATCGAGTTGTCTCAGTCACTGGCATGTTTATCTAAAAATAAATACGCTTAAATTCACCTTCGACAATTCAGCCGGGTTTCGATCTAAGGTAGAGGCAACGAGAGGTCTAGCCACACTGATGAGATGAGATGTGATACAGCGAAGCATTCTGTCTGTGGATGTCATATATATATATATATATATATATATATATATATATACACGTAAAATATCGGTTAATAAAACAAGGAGAAACGGAAAGGTGCCAATATAATCAGTAAGATAGACATTTATTAAATATTAATTATTATGAGAGAAATGAACATGAAGCGAAGTTTTTATGTGGGGAATTTTCGTACACGCCTGTTTCCTTCATCAACGGTACGATCAGCAAATAGAGAAATAGGAATCACCCAACCAGGTGTTTCAAGTGCAAATCTTATTATTAGCAAAAAAAACCAGATCTCTGAATCCTCGATGTGCGAAACTTTTTATGAAAATAAACTTAAATTTAAAATTTTGTTCCGAGCTAGGCAGCTTTATTGTTACTAGTGTGTGTCGTGTGGAAAGTGAGATTGTAAACATGGAGGCAGAGAATTATAGTTTGGGGAATGAGAAAGACGTCACGCGTGTAGCAAGACGTTGAAAAAATTGACAGGCCACGTGGTCGTGTGTCGAAAGACGGGTTAGAATATGATATGATAAAAACGAAGAGAAAGAGGTATAAAGAAAAAAGAAAAAGATGAAGGAATATGGGAATATATAATAATTAAATATTAAATAAAACAAAATGAAAACAAAAAGTTATGGAGAAAGATATATACAGTGTGTTTCAAAACATTTGATATCCTTTGAGATGTAAATATCACAGGAAGTACATGATTAAGGCAAATGAAATTAAAAACTATTAATGTTGAAGATCATAAGATTTATTCTTCCAAATCTGAATGAGAAATTCAAAAGCATGTGGATTATGTGAACGATTTCACCAATGTTCAATATGCGAACCGCCTGAGACACGGCATTTTTATACCTGGAAAGAAAAAGATTAAAGATTAAAGAACATAAAAATACAAATAAGAAAAACACAAAAACATAAAGACATAAAAACATAAAACAAACATTAAACATAAAGATGCTATTAAAATTTGAAGTGATTTGAAGCAGATCTAACAAAGTTATTAGATTGCGAAATGATATCAAATTTTTGAAACACCCTGTATATATATATATATATATATATATATATATATATATATATATATATATATATATAGCGATATCTAAATTACACAAAAATGAAAATAACATGTTAACAAATTTATTTACTAAAATTAGATAATCATATCTTGAAATTCAAGTGTAAACTTATTCAATAAAATCGCCAGTGGCTTCAACCACGACCTGCTGCATATATTTCGGACGCTCCTTTTTTTTAAGTTGGTGTATGCTACCATAATCCTTGCCTTCAGTTCATCTTTGGTGTTAAAGGAGTTTTTGCGGGTCCCTTGCTGAAGTGCACTCCACACAAGGGAGTTGCACTCTGGGGAGTTAGCTGGCCAGATGTAAGGGGTGGTGGGGTCTCAGGACTGGGTTCGCCTGCTTGTGTGGCATGGTGTAAAGTCCTGTTGCCAGAGATAAGGTTTTCCAACAGCCACCCTCTTGACCCAGAGCAGCACTACTTCCTCAGGGCATTTGATGTAGGCATCCATATTGGATCTGAGGCCCGTGGGAAGATGAATGGAGGCCTAACGTCGCCATTACTAGTGATCACACCAAACACCTTCGTAATCAACATTAGACTCATCCAACTCTTTTCGAATCCTCTGAACTTTCCTCAGATTGATAACCAAACACTCATGTTCGTATTGCAGGTCCCGGTGCGAATGCCAAACAGTACAGCATCCTGTTTTCAAAATTCTGGTGGAGTGTATTACGTCATGGCGCAATTTTTCTCAAAGACAGCTCCCAACAGAACTTACCATACTGTGCAGGCGACAAAATCAAAATCAAACAAAGCACATCCGGGAAATTAAAAATATAAAACGACGACAATTTACACATCGCATCCTGTATAGTATGATACGTATCATTGCATATCAATATGAGCATATCGAGAACTGATTTTAAATATTAATCGATAGTTCTGTTATATATTTGTATATACATATACATATACATATATATATATATATATATATATATATATATATATATATATATATATATATATATATATATATATATATATACATATGTAATATATGGATATAGATCCGACATATGAAGAAAATATACAGAAAAACAAACAAAAATCTTAATATATAATTATGCTGTCTTTTTCATGTTGAATTTTATATGTTCTAATGTTAATAATGTTTTATAAATAAGTCCTGGTAATGGTCTAAAATAGACCGAAACGTCTGACGTTGAATTTATATTAACATTAATACAGCATAATTGCATATTAAGATTTTTGTTTGTTTTTTCTGTATTTTTTTCATATATATATATATATATGCATATATATATATATATATATATATATATATATATATATATATATATATATATATATATATATATATATATATATATATATATATATATATAAACTCACGCACAAGTATTTAAAACATGTACATACATATATTTGCTTTTTCTGTACATACGATCTTTTTTTAATAATGCATTTTTAAGCTCGAGAAAAGCATTGAAAACTAAATCTCTAAACGTTAAACCAAACGCGACCCTCCATCTTTATATCTGAAGAACAGAAATTTCATTTAAAAAAAAAAAAAACTTTTAGGTTACCTTAAATACATTTCGAAATTCGGTA